TCTCTTCTATTAGACTTGTCTTCTATTTTCACTTAGAAAGTTCTTCCAAGAAATAGAAGTGGAAAGTGGCCATAAATCCAGTGTTTCAGGACCTCTGACAGCCTGGCCAAAGTGAGAAGTAATGTCCAGACCAGTTGACCTATATACATGCAGATTAGTTGCATGATATAAGCATAACAGATCCAGCACGGCCAAACTATTGCAGTCACTACAATATGCACAACATGTTCTAGGGATGTTGAATACTTTGCCTTCCCAGTTTGACCCCTCAGCCCACATGCTGGTACTTCCATCTAAGTTTTCTGGGGCAAGTAGAGATGTTCAGATGTTATGTTTATCCAAACATCTCTGAATAGTGTTTTAGTATTGCAGCACTCATTGGTATGTGTTAGCCTTCTTTCCTTGTTTCCTGCTAGCCATTTTTTTTTACCTTCTTTAAACTGTCTCCTTTCTGCTGTTAGCCCATCTCAACTACCACTACCATCAAAAGACTTTGAAGGTTGGGTCTTTGCAGATCTCTGGCCAGGTTTTCATAGTGGTGTTAATAAATGCTCTACCCTTCTGGGTTGCAGCACTCATAGATCAACCAATAGCAGACACTGCCAGATCTGCTGGGTGCTTTGAAGCAATGAAGGAAAGAATTCAGCTGAGCTAAGACCCACAAATTGCAAGGAAAGAATGGTTATTCTATCTTGGAGAAAGAGCCAGGAAACTAACAGGTAGCCACAGGGAGACATGCATATATTGATGGGGTATATAGGGCTGGACAGGAAGAAACTTTCTTCTACAACATGACAGTTTGGATCCCATTTGGATCCTATATTTTTCTTGGTCAAATGCAAACTGTCCCCAGACTGACACCTTTTTGAGTTGAATTAATAACAAAAATAGATTTTATCTTTTTTTTATGACAGCGTGCTGTACCAAATCCGAACCTTTTACTGCACTTTAATTCTGTGTGCTGAGGAGTAATGCAAAATAAAGCTGTGCTGCATGCAGCTTTCAGCAGTACCATGGGCCATAAAATCTAATTTTAGGCATTAAAATTGATTATTTCAACTTCAATAGTTCCTCCACTCTTCTGTTTTATCTCCCTTTTCTGCTTTGATTACTAGTTGCTTGTCTGAGTGGAACATTTTGGTGGCAGGTGTGTATTTTATATGCATGTTTCTGGGGGGACAGGGATAGTGGGTTATCCTAGAATGCTGCCATAGCCTATCAGTTGGAAGGGAAAATGTAGAAAACCTAGTGCAGGGGAAAAAATTAGGAATTCTGAACATGCGCACTCAGCACATGGATTAAATCTTTCCTCAACTGCCTTCTCTCCCTTCATGTCCTGGTTAGCTTCAATGCTGAGGGTTGCTGTATCCAGATTTATTTCTCTTGAAAGATGAGCACATCCAGAAGATGCACATGGTAAATAAAAACTGTGGCCTTCATTCTTGCTGTGTGATCTTTGAATGGTGAGAATGTGCTGTAACATTTCTGCACTGTAACAGAAAAAACAATTTGGCAATAGTTGTTGCTGATTCTTAATTCTCAGGGAATATTTGCTATAGTTGTTTTGAAAAGATACTTATTTTATGACCAAAATACTAGCTTCCAATCTTTTTTTTCATTTACTGAAACAGTTAACAACAACAATCTAAAACATGTAATGTGTTCTGCTTTCAAACTTGCTCCTGTGAAAGATTTTGTTTTATTTAAGTCTGGGTTTCTCTTTGGTTTAAGAAACATATGGATTAATCAAGTTCTAAAGGCATGGATTTGTTGTTCTATAATGCTATTAAATTAATTGCACACAGTATCTTTGGCTATACTTTGTGTTCACTTCCCCAAAGAAGAAATGTTGTTCAAAAAGTAAATGCCGTGAAAGATACTGAGAGTATCTTATAAGAAGAATATCACAACCATGGTTTATTTCATGTACGAATACTGGGTGATGGTCACATTGTTCCCCTGTACTGGTAGAGACCATACTTTATGCAACTTTTCCTAGCTGTGTGCCCCATCAGATCTTCATAAAGGAAAGCTATTTTAAATCATTCTTTGTGTCTGCTTGTGCAGAGTATGTGTCAGTGATGAAGTGATCTCTTTCTTCTAGCCAAGTACAGTGCTGGCCTCAAATTTTGCTGCATAAGCAGGCTGTACTGTGCCTTTCAGTAGTACTGCTCAGCTGTGCTCAGGGTCATGGAGTGGGGAATGGATACAACTCGACACAGTTCTTCCCTGATAGACCTAATGGTTGCATTAGACTCTAATTAAGGCAAATTTTCCATTAAACATTTTATAGAGGTCTTGAACATTTTCATCCAAGAAGCCATTATAAAAAATCTATGCCCTTAGGAAGGCACCAATTTGCTGCATTTTTTGTTTTCCTCTCACCTGTGTCATTGTAGCTAGGTGAAATGCAGAACTGAGCATAATTTCCTTTAAACAACAAGAGTTAAGGTCTCATAATCATCTCATTAGGGTAAAGAACCACAGAGCCATTCATTGCTATGAACTGCCCCACTGCCAGGCCAAAATTTAACAGAGTTGATGTATGAACTGAGCAGCCACTGTTCCCTCTGGACACATGAACAGCCAGTATGGGGAAAGTTCCTTCACTGCAGTGTCACCTCTGATGCCACCTCCCTGTTGCTTTATTCAATTGCTCCCCAGTAAAGAGCAGGAGAACAATTTGTGTGATTGTGGAGTGATGGAGAGGCAGTGGGAGACTAGTACTGAACCTGGCCTCAATCCATGTTGAGAAAAGGGTGGCTTGGCAAGAGACAACAGCTTCCTCTCCACCTCCCTTTCCTGTCTATAGACAAGATTAGGAGTACCATGAGAGATACTGCAAGAGAAGCTGCCCTTATAGCACAGGTGAGTTCCAAAAGATAGGATTTGGCACTTGAACACTTGACTTCCCAAACTGAGCATTGGTGCAGCCGCTCTTTGAGTTCTCCATTTAGTTCTGGGCCTCACAATTTAAGGGGGATGTGAAGGTCCTTGAATGCATCCAGAAGTGTACCTCAAAGCTGGTGAAAGGGCTGGAAGGCATGTCCTGTGAGGAGAAGCTGAGGGCTTTGGGCTTGTCTAGTTTGGAGCAAAGGAGACTGAGAGGAAACATCATCACTTTCTGATGCTTCCCAAGGAGGGCAAGAGGACAGGGAACTGCTGATCTCTTCCCCTTGGGACTCAAGATGTGTGGGAATGGTTCAAAGATGCACCAGAGGAGGAGGTTTAGACTGGACATTCAGAAGCATTTCTTTACTAAGCAGGCATTCAAATCAAACAGGCTTCCTAGAGAGGTGGTCGATGTCCCAAGCTTGTCAGTGTTTAAGAGGCATTTGGAGAATGCCCTTAACAACATGATTTAATTTCTGCTCAGCCCTGAATTGGTCAGGCAGTTGGACTAGGATGATCTTTCTACAGTCCATACAAATGAAATAGTCTATTAAAATTTTTGTTTCTGATATATTTGTTTTTGCATTTCAGTCAAGGAAATATTTAGCCCCCAAAGCAGTTTTTCAGCCTGGTACTTTGCAATGTCAGAGATTCACTTCTCTAGTGATAATTTCACTGGTGAGGTGACAAAATTGTTTCTGACAGAGGATACACTCAGGTATAGTCCAAATTACTACAGTATTTCCAGAAAGCACAGTCCGATTTTTTTTCCATCTGCTCTTACCTGGCAGAAGGAGTTGTTTTTATCCCATGTGCAAACACTGTCAAGGTGATCCACACTTTTCTTTATATTGTGTTGCATGTGGACTTGGGGTGAGTTCAAATAGAGGCTGATGTAAATGTATTGGCACTTTTCTCCAGTGGGTTCTGAAACCAGGCTTGGTCTCCAGTACCTATGATTTATTTTCCTGCATTACCAATTTTCATCTTCAGACACTCATTCTTAATGCATACCTTGTTTCATTTTATAAACCCTGCCCTGTCTCCTTTACCCTGCCTGTCCTGATGAGAGAAATCAGTGGATGATTATAAGACAGCTCTGAATAAAAGTATAGTTTTTCCTTCCCTTGTGTTGCCTGACACTGCAGGAGAGTGGTGGAGGGGACTAGGTGCCCGAGAGAACTGCTTTTGCTTTGCCTTTTCCTTAGAGTCGGTATGGTCTATTGCCATCTCCTGTTAAAACTTTCATCTGTAAAGTCGGGAGAAGCGATCAGCTTATTTAACCTTTACCAGGCTTTAAAACATCACTTTTGAAAGCTGTGTGGCTACCAGTTTTTGGTGACTTCTCAAGGCAATTCCCTCTGCTAGAACCCGGTTCTCCCTGCTTTTCTTAGCAGCGGTCCCCGTCTCTGCCGTTCGCAGCCCGATAAACCGAGGAAGGAAGGGGGGCAGTGGGAGGGATGCTGCCGGCAGGCTCGATAGATGCTTTTTTCCGGGAGGCCGTATACTTTTGGAGAGTAGGAAAAGCCGTACTCCCTGCTTAGGAATTCGCGGACCTGCACTGATCTCCCCGCTCCGGCAGACGTGGGGCTTCCCACGGCTCTTCCACATTATTTTCGGGCCGGTGGCACTCGGCTGCGGAGCTGCGGGCGCCCCGCGGCTTTCCCGGCAGGGAAAGCACCTGAATGCCCGCTCCTGCTGCCCGTCCTGCTGCACCCGAGCGGGGTCGGGAGGGCTTGCGGACAGCGGGGGGCTTCCCATCCCCGCTAAGCCGGGCGTGCTCCGGGGGACACCGCGGGACGAACCTGGAAACACGGGGGGCGGGGGCGGCCGGATGGGGGACACCGAGAGCGGCGACGCAGACACACCGGGGATGGCGCGGGGACACACCGGGGGCGGGGAGGGGACGCGGATAGGAGGGGAGACACGCTGGGGGCGGCGCGGGGGGGACACGTCGGGGGCGGCGGCCGCCCTGCCGGGAGCGCGTCCTGCCTCCTCCCGCCCCCTGCCTCCGCTCGTCGCCGTCCCCCCGCGCCGCCGCCGCCGCGGCGGGTGGCCGGGCGGGCGGCAGAGCCGGGGGCCCGGCGGCGGGGCCGGGCGCGGGCAGGATGCTCCGGTGGCGGGGCCGGGCGCGGGGCGTCGCGGTGGCGGTGGCGCACGGGCTGTGCTCGGGCTCGCTGAACATCCTGCTGAAGTTCCTGCTGGCCCGCTACCACTTCGCCTTCCTGACGCTGCTGCAGTGCCTCAGCAGCGCGGCGGCGGCGCTGGGGCTGGAGGCGCTGCGGCGGCGGGGGCTGGCGGCGCTGCCGCCCTTCGGGCCCCGCCTGGCGCGCCCCTTCGCCGCCGTGGCCGCCCTGGCCACCCTGCAGTCCACCCTCACCCTCTGGTCGCTGCGCGGCCTCAGCCTCCCCATGTATGTGGTCTTCAAGCGCTGCCTGCCCCTCGTCACGCTGGTCACCGGCGCCCTGGTGCTCCGCGACGGCATGCCATCGCCCGGCGTCCTCGTCGCCGTCCTCATCACCACCTGCGGCGCCGCGCTGGCCGGTGAGCGCGACCGCACCGAGGGCACGGGACGGGACGGGACGGGACGGGACGGGACGGGACGGGACGGGACGGGCGGCCGCAGCGGTACCCGCTCCCTCCGGGCTTCGGGCGCCGGAGCGGGAGGGCAGCGCCAGCCCGGGAGAAAGACGCGAGGATACGGGGTGCGTGCAGTGCTGGGGGACAGCTGCGGCCCCACGGAGCCTCACGGGCGGGCAGGTGCAGCCTTGCAAAGGTGGATGCAGCCCCGCTCTGACTGGCACATTCTTGCAGGGCTCGGTAGAAGCTTTTGGAGAGAGGTGCATCCTTATGCGGCCCCGTGTAGGAGTAGCTGCGACCTTATTGCAACCCTACTAGGGAAGGTGCAACCTTATGGAGGGAATTGTAGTCTTATGGCGGGTGGGTGAACCTACAGGGGTAGATGTAATGTTCTGAGAGCAGCCGCAAGCCCATGGGACAACTGCTGCCTTGCTGGGGCAAGTGTGGTCTTATAAGGGCAGGTGCAAACTTAGGGGTCAGCTACAGCCCTCTGGGGCCAGCAGGACCCGTGTTGCTGTCCAGCCGAGGTGTAGGTGGGGTGGGAGGCAAAGCTGGCACTTTGTGGCACGACAGCACTCCTGGGCTGGGGGCTGCCTCAGACAGCAGAGCACATGCAGTGGGTGTAATTTAATCTGCAAAGAGACTGACAGGGGGCTCGGGAGGGAGGTGTTCCTTCAGGGATCCTGTAGGGCTGTATGACTAGAGGGTGCAGAATGGCCAGTGGGTTGGAGGGCAGGCAGCCCAGGCAGCCAGAGCTGGCATGTGTATGTGCTGGCAAGAGGATGCTCAAGGTTGCTCTGTGCGTGTGTGTGTCCGGTTTCAGCTACACACAGTGTCTTCACAAAAGGGAGAAGGCACTCTGCTTTTGGCTGTGGGATTTAGAGGGGGTATGAAAAACACTCAATATGTTTGCAGCATTAAGAAATGCCTAAGAGATTTGTTGGGAGGCAAGACTTGGACAAGCATGACAAATCCTAGGGGTTATGGAAAGTGCAATGATGCCTATTTCCTAAATATCCCTCTAGTCCAGAATGGTGCTCTCTTTCTGTCTCCCGTGCACCACCTATGCTTATTTCTCTCTGTGACTCTCGTGACAGGAGCTGGTGACCTGACTGGGGATGCTATGGGCTATGTGACAGGCGTGCTGGCCGTGCTGATACACGCTGCCTACCTGGTGCTCATTCAGAAAACCAGTGTAGACAGTGAATATGGACCCCTGACAGCTCAGTATGCCATCGCTGTTTCGGCCACCCCTTTCCTCATCATCTGCTCCTTTGCCAGCATGGATTCCATCAACGTCTGGTCCTTCCCAGGGTGGAAGGACCCTGCTATGGTATGCATCTTTATTGCTTGTGTTCTGATTAGCTGTGCCATGAACTTTACCACCCTTCACTGCACCTACATTAACTCAGCTGTGACCACCAGCTTTGTAGGGGTGGTGAAGAGCATAGCCACCATCACGGTAGGCATGGTGGCATTCAATGATGTGGAGCCCACAAAGTTATTTATAGCTGGGGTTGTGGTCAACACCTTGGGGTCTGTCATTTACTGTGTGGCCAAGTACGTTGAGACAAGGCGGCAAAGCAACTATGAGGACCTGGAGAAAGAAGCTAGAGAAGAGGAGGGGAAAAGGCAGGCTGGAGACCAAGCTCTGTTTGCCATGGAGACAATTTCCCAGGGGAAGGGGGCCGAGGAAGCAGCGGTGGAAGGATCATCCACAGGGCAGAGACAGAGTGGAGAGGAAGAGAAGGACGTCACTGAGAAATCAGCCACGGCACTTGTGGTTCAGGGAAAATCCACCATCACACAAGAAGTGAACAGAAGCTCGCTGAAAGAAGCCTATCTTGGAGTATGGAGGTTGGTGAGGGGTGCTAATTATATAAAGAAGGATTATTTGATAGAAAATGAAGAGCTACCAAACCCTTAAAAAGCAGATTTGAAAACCTATTGTTTGAGGACAGACACCTGGTTTTCTGTACAGGGGGAAGGCAGAGCATACATTTCCACATCAATGCTTACAAATCCAAATCATTCAGGATGACTTTACCTCATTGTCAAAAAGCAAAAGATCATAGTTTGCTCATGCTTTGGGCTTGCTTTCAGCTGCTTTCAGTATGTCACCTCAGCTAAGGTGCTGACACTGCTGCAGACACAGAGAGAGCTGGGTAAGGGGAAGCCACGAGGTGCTTGCCCAGCAGCTGGGAATATGAGGGATATCAGTGCCACTGGGATACTTGGCAGTACCAGTGACACAGCGGTGGCCTATACCTTAGATTGTGTCTGGAGCCTAGTGATTTTAACACATTTGGAGGCTCTGTCAGTGTGCTTCTGTATCTGTATCCATCCAATTATAGGTATTCTGCATAACCAATTCCTACAATATAAACTTGTATTAACTGTACTTTTTTGTGCTCCTCTGTGTCAATACAATTACAACAGAGCTAGAGGTTGTGCCACTTCAGTTATATGGGTATAAAATCACTCTCTTGTCTGATGAATTGAAGCCCTCCAGGCTAAGCCTTGGACCTGGTTTACCTTGGGTGCTTTGTGTCTTCAGTAGAAATCCTTTAGTCTTGTGATGGTGTACGTGAAAGCAGAACCAGATCTGAGCTTCTGAGAAGCTTTGACTGGCAAAAGAAGGATGTTTGTCTATGAGCTTTAACTATACATAGCATTTGGAATATTAGCTTGACTCAAATAAAAGAGTTTGGAAATGTTGGTATGTATTGATTGGATTTGGGACGGCTATAAAAATTTAGGGAGAAAGTGTGTGCCTTGTGTTATCCCTCCTTGTACCCTAAAGTCAGATGAATCAGAGCCTGGACTGGAACCCAGGTGTCCTCTCCATTCATTCTGTCACAAGCAGAGGCTGAGATCAGAGCTGGGGACAGCAGCTCTGAAGTTCCCAGGGGTGCTTTTGCAGGACAGTTGTGCTACATCCTGGCCATGTGCTGGTACGTGGCTTTGTGCGTATCCACCCTCGCTGTCCCTGTGCTGGGCTGTCCTGTGGAACAAAGGGCGGGCAGGCAGCAGGAGCTGCCCGGGGCTCCGGCAGATCCCATGGCCGAGTGCCTGGGGAGAGGGATGCTCAGTGTGCTCGGCACAGGCACATCCATGGCTTTGGCAGAGGCAGCTCCCCAGTGCCCAGACTGTCCCTGTCCCCATGGGCTGCGAGGGGCAGAGCTGCTTTTCCCCTTGGGAACTCAAACGCTCGTGTGGGAAGTGGGAAGCAGGCACTCCAGCGAGGCCTCAGCTGAATACACTAGTATTTTGTCCCACATCTATTTAACTGAGAAGACTGTGGAAACAAATGTTTGAGTGTTTCTTTGCCTGAAGATACCCGTTTGGTAGGTGGGAGTACTTGGGTGGAACTAGACAGAGAAAAGATTTGATTGTGAGTACTTCTCACCCCAAAAGGGTGCTGCAGCCATTGAGGCCACCTTGACAACAGACTGAAACAAGTTGTTACCATTTTCTGAAAAAATTAACCAAGTTTGTTGTTGTTGTTGTTTTTAATATTGTTATTGTTGTTATTAATAATTATTTATTATTATCTATTAAGCCACTGAACTGAAAATCAGCTATTCCCACAGCCCTAATTAACCAGTGCCTGGCCCAGTGCTCTCTCCAGCTGAGCAGGCAGCATTAGCCTCACAGCGTGTTCAGTCTGAAGTGAGCAATTTGCCCAGCAGGGAATATTTGCAAAACTGCTCTCTGGGGGAGCTTTAGGTTCTTGTCAATAAATGCAGGCAGAAATATCAGGTGCTGTGGCAGTGTGTTTTCGGAATGATTGCAGAAGTTGGCTGACCTGGCATCACCCATGAATTTTGAAAGAGAAGGCTAAAAGGACATTTATGCTAAAAGCCTGGAGCTGCTGAGCTGGGGGACAGGGCAGGGAGCTCTGTACATCACATGTTATGTATAGCTTGTGTTTAAGAGGTACTGGCTGTTTGCCAAAATACGTTTACCTTCTGTTTGAGCTCCATATGGGATCTTTTCAATAAAAGTACTATTTATTGTTTCTAGGCTAATATAATAGGGCTTTTGTTAGTTTTTCAAATGCATCCTCGGCTAAAGACGTTTGTGCCTATTACTTATAGTCGCTGTGTTACTGAACTCATTGCGATATTGAACTGCGTTGTAATCATACAGATGGCTGGAGAGAAACACACAATTCTGATCTGTCCTCACTGTGCTCACTGTTTTCTGTCCACAAAAAAGGTGGATCTTCTTACCACCTGGATGCCAGTCTTAGATCCTGTAGTGCACACGCCGTGTTTGACACGTGCTCTAGGAAGCTCTCCCACTGGACTCTTGTTTCAGGACTTTTTCCTGTGAAGAGGTTAAATGTTTTGCCACTTACTGTTGTTAAATTATTAGTAGAAACCTGTGGAAATTCAAACAGTTTTGACTATTAAAAAAGCTGCTGTTACAATGTTGTACATTTGCATGTATAGTCGAAATGTGATTATATTGTATTCTGTTTTTACCTGTAAATTCCCTAAATTAAAATGGGAATTTGGCAAATGCAATCCAGTTTTTCAGTAACAGATGCTGTCGCACAATAAAATGAAAATACTGCCTCGTGCTGAGGTATTTTAATAGCATCAGCGGAAGATGGTAGAATGAGATGTGGGAATAAAATGCACTGCTTTCCAAAAGCTTTCTGCTTTTCTTATTGTTGCTACTCCAGAGTGCTCATTTTTGCTTCATTTATAGTTATTCTTGTGCCTTTTTACCATCCAAGTTTCCTCAACATGTGACCACACACTATAAATAATGTCACGGATAGAGGGACTTAGGACAGACAAAGGAGCACAGGATTCTGAAGTGCTGAAACCTCGGTACAGCTCAAAATTTCAGTGGTTCTCAGTGGTGATTTTTTTGGTTACATATTTAAGATGATTCATTGTCACTGGTGTAGCTGTTATAACTTTAGAATTAATAAAGTAAGATGAAGCTCATTATTAATAGTTCCACTATAAAATGACAGCATTATTAAAGGACTTAATATTAATTTCATTTTACAATGTTAAGTATTTGTATTATCATCTATGTTGCATGGCAGCACTAGGAGATGACTTAAGTATTCATGTTTACCTGTTTGCTTTGGATGAAAGGTACATAATACGCCTGTGGCTGAAACTGGGCTGTGCCAGACCAGGCTGCGGTCAGTGGTTATTGCCGAATTCATCTTAGAGCTCCACACAAATGTGCCTGCAGGTTGATTTAGAGAAGGAGACCATCCTTGTTGTCAGATAATAAATGAACCTGATGCACAGTGACTGCTTTGAGAATAAACAGGAATTTCAGTGTCAACACATCCTTGAGTAACACCTGCTGTAGCACTCCTAGACGTGCACGTACGCGCACATGCACGCACACAAATGCACATGCAGCAGGACAACAAAAGCCAGACTGGCTATCTTTTTTGAAATGCATTCTTCTCTCTAAGAAATTAAAGAGAGGTCAGTTTATTTTGAGGCAGGTACAGTTAAAATTTCTAAGGATAAATTAAAAATTTGTATACCTCATTAATCTTGTATTTGCCATCACTTCCACATGGAAAATATGCAGCAACCTACAAAGAGTCATCTGAGAATGAGAGAAATTTCACAGTTTACTAACCAACACTTCAGACCCCTGCATACATCCAAGGATAGTTTATTGCCAGTGTTTAATAGCCTCTTGTAATTCTGTTTGCTGCAAAAATGACTGTTTGCTGCAAAGGCTTTAGTAGGCAAAAAGATGCAAGCCCTTCAGTTCTGGTCTCTAAATTAACATTTGATCATTTTGCTGTTAATCATGGTGAAGGGTTAACACCTTAACCCTCTCTGCCTGTGTCCTGTATAATTTCATGTATTACTTCGAGGTTTCTTCTGTGTTTTTCTAACTGGAGTCTCTAAGTGCAGTGGAGGCAATCAACCCTGCTCTCAATGAGCTGCTGTATTCATGCTTCAGTTGCTTGTTGAAGGTCGTCGGGAAGCTTTTCACTTCAACCCTGTTTCTGTCAGGAATTGATGAGCATGCACAGGCCCTCTTTTCTCATCCTTTGTTGCTGCTGCTTCTCCCAAATCTTTTTTCCAATGTCCATCCTGAAAATCGCTGCAAGTGATGGAGGACTTGCCACAGAGGCTTCTGCTACTTTTGTTTTAGAAGGGAAGGGAAGGGATGGACCAGCAGGATCTTGAATGTCCAGATTGCTTCTTTCTACCTTTGTGCATGTTTCTGCCCACCAGCTCCCTGCATCCCAGATCCCTATATAGCTCAGCCCTGGCTGTGTCCCAGCTTCTTGTGGAGCTGTGCCCAGGCTGTGTCCCAGAGTCCTGTGGAGCTGGGCTGTGCATGGGACAGGTGCTGGAGTGAGGGCTTCCCCTCTGCCAGACAGCCAGCACTGAAACCTGGCTGTGCCTGCCCCTGCGGAGATTTATTATACACACAAAACCAAGAGATCTTTTTGTAGTAACAACATTTTAAGTAATAAGGCTATAAACCTGCTGTTGAGCCAGGCTCTGTTTTTTTAGAGGTTGAGACTTAAGAAAGCCAGTCACACTGGCTTTCTTCAGTGCTGGACATTGTGTTTGAACAGAAGTGAGGCAGCCTGAGAAGAAAACCCAGGTAGAGAGCATGAGAACACTGCTCAAAGAAGTACATGAGATGGGATAAAGATGGATGGGGAAAATATGTGAGCTATTACTTAGGATGGGTGGGGAATATGCAATAGTTTGCAGAGAAGAAAAATGTTCTTGCATGAAAAAAAATGTGACAGCATTAGAAATCAATGGCCAAAAAGTGAAGTGAATCTGCAGTGAATGCACTTCAATTTAGGCTCTGGAAGAGCAGTGCACATGAAGGAGAGAGACAGAGTGAGCGAGCTGGCTGGGAGAAAGATGGCTGCATCTATTCTTTGTGTTTTTCTGTGCTTTT